TTATTTAATATAAAAAAATTATAAAGATTGATTAAAATTTGAATGATTTTTATTAGAAGCAATTATTGATTTTTATACTGAGGTACAAATCATTTTGCACTGACCCACCCATAATTAGTTATTACGTTTGTTAATTGAAATTTAAATTTTAGTTTGTATTTTACCTTCGCCCTTGAATTTCTTTATTTTCGATTGCATAAAGATTATAGGCCTTTGGAATCTTAGTGATACCCATTTTCGCAGTCTAACCTTTACTTCCTCGATTTTTTAACTTTTGGGTTGGTTAACACTATTGGTTAACACTATAAAGGCGTAGATGTACAGTGTTCGCATTGTTCTTTGTGTTCGGAAAAATTTTGATACGTGATTTATGGAAAGTTAGTAGGTCAGATACTTTGTGTTTACTGTAAATAAAATAGATTAATATAAATATTTTCAAATTTAAAAGCTTTATATTATAAAAAAATAAAAGTTTAATAAATTTAACCGTCATTACTCTGCCAGAACTGCAATATGGCGTACGTCAGAATTCATAATTTAATGTATGGTTCATAATGTTTAAGTCATGTTACATGTAATTCGAAAAGCTTAACTATCAAAATTTAATCCGTCAATGTGACTCATGCTAGTTGGTTCTGGTTCCCAGTTTATTCTAAAGCATTTATAAATCTGTACCACTTTGATGGTGCAGCCTGGAAAAAAATTCTACTATATTATTTGATGTTAAAAATTTGTTAGAAGATTGTCGTGAAATAACGCCCAGTTATTTTGAGTACATGTGCGTTATTTCGGGACAAAGGGTCGATTTCTCGCTAAACCTGATGTTCGAAATAACGCCCATGTGCGTCGTATAACATTGAATTGGGCCGAGATCTCTTACGCTATTTCAGGATGGTGGTGTTATTTTGAAAAATTCCAATGTACAGTCGCCACAAAAAGCAACGCCCGCATGTGTAACAACATAAAAAAATATGCGTCGCGTTTTCCAACTTTTTGATACTAATTTTTTTTATTATTTTCTTCTTTTACTTTTAAACTTACACAGGGCGAAATTTTTTTAGGTACCTGTCATACTAGTTGACAGGGATAAAAATAGTGATTTTTATATTGAAGTTATAAGTGTCAAGCAAGTTGCAAGAAAAATTTGACGTAACCCAGTAAGAGTATAATGATCTCTTGCCAAGTACAAAAAGAAACAGGAAAAACAAAAATTTACCACTGTCTGAGAGATCATAAGCTCATAAACTTCAGGAAAAAAAATGCATGTATGCAAGAAATGAAAAAAGGCATCCTGAGCCATTTCATGATATTGATAATAAAAAATGTATGCAAAAACTTATCTGAAGATTCTCTATCCCTTTTCATGATATAATTTGTTAATTGCACTGATTTTCTCTATTTGAATTTATTTCATTTTTTTTCCCTAACATAGATCAAGTTTTATTTTTTCAAATCTCATATTCTCTCAAATCAAGAAAAATATGTTGTAACATGATGATAGCGTAATGGTCTCTTGCCAAGTATAAAAGATACAGGAAAAACAAAAATTTATCACTATTTGGGAAGAACATAGGCTTTTAACAACCAAGAAAAAATGTACCTATACAAGAAGCTAAAAAAGACATTCTGAGCCATTTCACAATATTGGTAATAAATAATTCATGCAAAAGATTCTCCAAGGTAATTTTGTCCCTTCTTATAATATAATTTGTTCATTGATTTGAGAAAACATGCATGATGTTTCAAAAAAATAAAACTTGATCTTCATTAGGGAAAGAAGCCACGAATAGAATCAAATAGAGAAATCAATGAATATTGTGTTCTCACAACCCAAACTTCATAAAATGTCTGTAAGTCATTGGGGAACAATATTCTAAAATACAAAAGCTTCCCAAGGATCATGAAAAAGCTCAAGACTACTCTGAAGGAAATTTGATGTGTTTGCTTTTGAGGAGGTTGTAGGCTCGATGCCTAGCTAGTGGTAAAAAAATATTTTTATATACATAAGACAGAAATAAAATAAATCCAAAATTTTATTTTTTAAAAAAAAATCGGGCGCTACTTTTTTGTGACGACTGTACATGTATGCTATTTTAAAGGTACGATTTCCGAAGTAATACGGGCATGTTCCCCTATTTATTTTTTTTCTCGTTGTTCACGTTTCGGACTTTGTTTTTGCCGGACTGATCAATAATCTGAGCATTTTATTGGTACGATTGGATGTTGCGCTACCATAATTTAAGATCACCCCGGATGTGTTACAATTTACATGTTCATTTGCACAAATTGATTTACACGTGGGAGTGTGTATTACAAAGAGGGTGCCAATATAAGTTACAAGCAATTGTAATAATGTGAGCACGATGTGTGTTGCATTTGAACATGTACACAACATAGCAGAGATTCATGAAAATCTCGCTAATACGGATTTACTACAAACTAATTGTCGAACTCATCCGTTATTTCGAGAATCGCTGTGTTAGTTTTTTCGTTCGAAGTTACTGAAGATGGGCGTCTGCTGCTCTAGACGCGATGAAGATGACGATGGTCCTAGATTTCGTTTTATTGACGGCAGACGATATCATAACATCACTAATTCAGAATATCCGGGTGCGAATGATGATCAAGAAGCTGTTCGTTTAATACGCTATCATGAAGGTGATGATTATACTTTGGTTTGATAAAATAAGTTGATTATCATTTAAAAAAATTAAATTTTTTGTTCATAAGCAATGAAAGATATTTGGGAAGGCTTGTTCCATTCGCCAGTTGAAGAAAAATTGAAACAGGGAGCTAGAGTTATCGATGTTGGGTAGTTATTAAGGATATTTCTTTAAATTTGCATCAATTCCCAATCATTTTCAATCAAATATCAATTTTTAGATGTGGAACAGGAACATGGCTTTTAGTAATAATCTTTTTATTTTAATGTCACTTTGTGGAGTTATTATTTTAGATTAATATATTATTATATTAGGATATGGCGCGAAAATATCCCAAATCTGACTTTGTAGGAATAGATTTCTCGCCAATTTTTCCAACAGAAGGATTTCCTGGGAATATAAAATTCGTTAATTCTAATTTCCTAGATGGTCCAACTTTCGACGACTCTTATTTTGATTTTACACACCAAAAGTTTATGTCTGTATCTTTTACAGAACAACAATGGGAAAAACAAGTTATTCCTGAACTCTTACGAATAACCAAACCAGGTGGATGGATTGAAATTGTGGAAGCTGATATTATTGTATCTACTGGAAAGGTTACGCAACGTCTTATGAATGGCGGTAAGTAACAGTTATTTTATGGTAATAAAAGGTTTAAATTAATGCACATATTGGATTTTATTTTCTTTTAGTGAGGGAATGCTTTAAATCAAAAGGGTTGAATATCCAAGTTGGCGAATCTATTATTCCTCAAATTATAGAGAACACCAATGCTTTCTCAGAAATTAAAAAAAAGAAGAAATCTATTCCTCTAGGTAAAAAGGGTGGTAAATCTGGTCAAGAGGTAAATTTCAATAATTGCAGTGCGAAAAGCATACCTAGTCCTTCAAAAATAACAATATAATAAGTCATCCACAATTTTTTCATGCCTTCAAATTTGTGGATTAGATATTCTATTATCATTTGAAAGATTAGAAAAAAATTATTCTAAAGAAATTATCTAAAGAAATTACTTAAGTTTTGACCTTTTATATTCTAAGACCCTAAAATTTTACACAAGAGCCTACGACTCTGCTAGGATGCTTCTGTCTTCGTCTATGAATATTACGCCTGAACATTTTGACGCTCTCGTAGAAACTGTCTCTATTGAAGCAGACAAATTTTATTCATATACTAATCATTATCGTATTTACGGTCAGAAACGTTAAGAATTTTACATTATCAAATATTCTACTTGATAAATTATGCTATTAATATATGCCATATTTATCATAGGTAAGATTATGATTATAAATTTTTATCTTAACATGCTAAATTTGCATATAGATTTTGTTCAATTTATTAAGACAATTATATAAATTAGCTAGCAAACTCTTTTTAGGAATAAATTATCTATTAAAATCTTATTAATAAATCTGCTAAAAGTCAAGACTATATTAAATCAGCATCAAACAGTCAGAAGCTGTTAAAAATATCAAATCATAAAGCTTCAGTTTTGAAATTTGACGTCACATGACCTGTCACAAATTCATTTTGTTTTTCACAAATAATTTTGACTCACATTTTAATTTTAAATGCAGCTACAAAATAAAACAGGTGCTCTAACACTAACTTATTGTTTGTGGATGTGATGCTGCTTGTATTTCTGAAAATTCATACGACCGTCCGATATATCAAGACTCATAATGATGGAGAAAGAAACAACCTTTTAGCAGTGAGCAGTGAGACTGTTTCGGTATGGTTTAAAAGATTTTATTAAATAATCTACTATTACAAAATCATTTTATCTAAAATAACGCGTATTCAATCGTTCGAAATAAAGCTAAATACTATTTTTATTACCTAAATTTTTTAAGATCATTAAGCAAAATATTCATTATCATCATTCTTTCAATATAATGAATGCAAAAACATTTATACCTTTTGAAAATATGTCGGTTGGATATCCATTTACGTCAACTACAGCTTGCATTCTTCTCGATATACTTTCACCAAATTTTTAAAATTTCCGGTTCGATTTTTCCCATTCAAGAACCAAATCTTTTCTCTAAACATCATTTTACTCGTTTGGCAGTTTTCCTCGGTTTTCTTAGCACACATTTTCATGAAGATTACAACGCATGGTTTTCAAAGCATTATTGGACTTTCGGTAATCTTGTTGTCGATAATATTAATTACTCTTCGGATGGCTCTAGCATTTAATATTCGTGATCTACCGCGTCGGACAGCAACTGTAGTTCGGCCAGCCTCTTTATATTTATGTATGATGCTATGAACTGTGGATTCGGATCGTCTTTTCCAGAAAAACCAAACACTTCCCAAGCACCGAAGATCTCGCCACGCTTAAAAATCCCAAAGTTGACAATTTTTGTGTTGATTGGGTTTGTCATCACAACCCAGATTCGGGTACAATCACTAAAAATTAGAATTTACGCCAGGCTAAATATATTCAAAAAAAATAATAATCAAAATTTCTAAAATGTTGTCAGCTTTATTCAATGAGTTTTCGAGATTAGATTAATTAATAAAGACTATATTTTTCGTCATTTTCTATAAATCAATTTTTTAAATTTGCCGAAGTTTACTAAAACTCATATAATTTATGTCAAAAAAAAAAAAGAAAACAATCAATCGCTCCGGACATAAGAAAATCGCGTCAAAAAAACACTTTTATTATATCATTTTCATAAATTTCTTTGTCATTGTTCTTTTGATGTCATGTTCCAAACCTCTTAATTAAAATGGGGATACAGAATTGATCTTTGAAGGATCCGATTTTTGTGGTTCCTATTTTGGTCATGCATGTATACGGTATCAAAAGAACTATTTAGTTTTCGCCCTTTTCCGGGAGCGGTTAAAGCGCAGTCCATCATGTGATCCGTGTCCGATAGGTGTGCGCAAATTTTTTGATCAACCCGGCAAAACAAATCCGACACAAGATATGAAAAATGAATATTACTCGAAAACCTA